GTTGTCCTGTTTCAAGAATTAGGTCTTGTTGTGTGCCTCTGTATTCTGTTTTATTATTGTTCACTTCCAGCCTCCATTCATCATCATAGTCTTGGGCCAAAATTACTTGATAGTGCGCAAAACACAGTGGGAAATGATGATCCTCATACAATGGTATTTCCATATTGTCACATTTTTTCTGCCATCTCTTTAGGGTTTGTTTCAAACATATTTTAAATAATGTTGGAGAAATACTACACCCTTGCATCAGTTCTTTATTTGCGGAAAATGCTTTAGAAGTGATTTTCCCTACTTTCACTATTGCCTCGTTATTGTTATAATTTCTTTAATGGCTTCAATGAGATTTACGCTGATGTTGGTATGTTCGAGAGCCTCCCATAATTTCTTCGGCGGGATAGGTGTTTAAATACCGGATGTAGTACTTGATTAAAAACTATTTTTTTCTCCATTATTTGTGTGAGACGATAAAAATGGTTGTGGTATATCTCCCATCTCAGAATCTAGCCTGTTCTTTCGCATTCAGGTCTCTGTACTCTAACTCTATTTTGCTATTGATATCTTTCCATACATTCTACTGATCGTACTCGTGACTGAGATTCCTCGGTAGTTGCCACATTCCTTTTTGATACCTTTTTATGTATGGTTGAACTTAGAGAGAGACCATTCCTTCGGGGTTTCGTCGACATTAAGATACCTTTTGCCTATTTTTTTCTCCATTATTTGTGTGAGACGATATAAATGGTTGTGGTATATCTCCCATCTCAGAATCTAGCCTGTTCTTTCGCATTCAGGTCTCTGTACTCTAACTCTATTTTGCTTTTGATTATCTTTCCATACATTCTACTGATCGTACTCGTGACTGAGATTCCTCGGTAGTTGCCACATTCCTTTTTGATACCTTTTTATGTATGGTTGAACTTAGAGAGAGACCATTCCTTCGGGGTTTCGTCGACATTAAGATTCCTTTTGAAGAGTTGAATTAATAAAGCATACAACTTTTCTGTATCATATTTCAATAGTACTGATTCTATGTTTTCTGCTCCGGACGCCTTGTTATTTTTCAGGCCTCTACATGCCTCCCTCATTTCCTTATATTCTAATCCCTACGGGGAACCGATTGCAGTGATGTTTTGTGTTCGGTTATCATTATTTGTAGTATTTCCTAATTTCCTTTAATATCTTGCAAAAGTAATTTTTCCCACTCATCCATTTTTATGGGTGTTATAATATCCTTTGTTGTACCTTATTTCAACGATTGAAGATATTGCTTATCGAGCCTCCAGGGTAAGTATTTTAGATGATTATATTTTTTCTTCCATATTTCGTTTTTCCTATTTATAATGTATTTCCGAACTTGTGGCTTCGCTTCCCAGACTATCGAGGTTATATCTATCTATGTCTGTTGTTTTGCTTTCAAATCTTCTGTGCCCGTTGTTTCCTTGGAGCCTTATTTTTGATCTAAGCAGATAATGTTGGCTTTCACATGTGGCTTCTATACAAATTTTAATATCTTGGATCTTCATGTGTGGCTTTTGTCTTATAATGACGTAATTTATTATTGATTTAGGATTTTTATTGTGCTGTGTCCATGTGTATATGTGAATCCATCGATGCGAAAAAAATCAGTTCATTATCCGTAATTTGTTTTGTTTACTTAAATTTTTCACCTTTTCGCCATATTTTCTTATTACATTGTCGTTATTTCGATTTCCTTTTCTAATATTCATGTCCCCTGGTATTATCAGTACCCTTAACTTTTAATAGCTCGTCATTTAGTGTTTCGAAAAATTCTTCTTCACAAGGGCATCTTACTTTAATTGGTCTTTCGTTAATAACTTCCCAAGATGTTGCATATCTTCTAGAACACCATCGTATCATAATAGATACTTTCTGTTTAGCCCTCAAGTCTTTAGGTACGCCACTAAAGAAATGGTCGAAGTACTCGAGATTTTCCAAACCCCTATCTTTTTCACTTAGTCTCCATAATTACTGCGATTTTCTATTTTCATTTTTTTGAGTTCTGATTTAACTTCATTTTTGTAAGATAGACTTTGTGTGTTCCAAGTTGCAAAATTTGTGTTCCTTTTCCGAAGCTCAAGCCATTTCCGAAGTTAACATTTTAATTCATTTCCGAGTATTGGAGAGTTAGCCCGATGCCTCAACCCCCAACTTGGAGGACCAGGGTTTTATATTTTAGACAGATTTCTTTCTCTACAGCTCAATACTTCTATCTAACCCACCTGCTGGCCCGGGTTTGCTATTTTATTTCCCACCTACCCACCGGTGTGATTAAATTCATACCTCCTCTGTCCGCCAAACTGAGGACGCGCCTTCTAGGGGTCACAGGCTCCTCCGAGGAGCGAAATAACTAAATTTTAAAAATCAAGAGTAAATTTATGTTATTGTTATAAAAAGGTTCTTCTTTGATATGTAGTTTAAGGTGCATTTTTTATTGGTATAGTTTATATATATATATATATATATATATATATATATATATATATATATATATATATATATATATATATATATATATATATATATATATATATATATATATATATATATATATATATATATATATATATATATATATATATATATATGATGACACTATACTCCGGGATATCATCCGTTCGCTCGTTGAACTCCTACTGGAATCCTGCATCCGACTGGAATCCTGCAAATCCTGCATCCGACTGGAATCCTGCAGACGTTTCGCCAAAATCTCACTTGGCATCTTCAATGCTCGCGCTCCGAAAACACTTCGAACACTATGTTTTCGGAGCGCGAGCATTGAAGATGCCAAGAGAGATTTTGGCGAAACGTCTGCAGGATTCCAGTCGGATGCAGGATTTGCTGTTTCCAGTCGGATGCAGGATTCCAGTCGGAGTTCAACGAGCGAACGGATGATATCCCGGAGTATAGTGTCATCACATTTTTCCATCCGTGAATCAATACGTGAGAATATATATATATATGTATATATATTTAGATATGAGCTAAGTGTTATAAGTGTATTATAATTACTATTATTATTATTATTATTATTATTATTATTATTATAAATAATATTATTGCAAATAAAAACTCGAGCCAATTTTATCCCCCGGCTCCAACCAATAGTGGGCAATCTTAGCGACCTTTCGTCGTGCAAGCTGCAGGTGGCCATCAGAAGGCCTCAATTTCACATCTCGAGAGATGCATCCAACCACACAACCGGCTGACATTGAGGAATACTTGAGGCCTATGTTTACGGAGGTCAAAGTGGAGCAGATCAGGTCCATGTTCCCAGAAAGTTATGCATCATTTAAGTGCACTGTGCTGGATGCTGAATCGGAGAAGATTCTCAACCCTTCTATTTGGCCAACCGGAGTGCTCGTGAATCGTTTTCTCGGTAGGCGGGCTTCTGGATCACTGTCCAAGTGATAAAGGTAGTCCAATTAATACATTTAGTCTTACTATTCTTATCCTTAATATTCATGGCCTTTGTAACAAGATTGACTTACTTAATTGTTATTTGTTCCATAAAAATATTGATATTTTATGTCTTTCTGAACATTTTGTCTGTGATGCAGAGGTTTTGAGATCATTGGGCGTGAATAATTTTTTATTGACAAGTTTTCGATGCCGTCAGACTGCGGTCAGAGGGGGCGTATCAATTTATAGTACAAAAAAGGTTAACTGCAAATCTCTAGACTTAGACAAATACTCGTTAGATGTTCACGCAGAATTTTGCGGAATAGAGTTAATCCACAAAAACACCATAATCATAAACGTATACAGATCGGGGAGCCACGGCGACCCTTACTTGTTTATGTCTAGACTGGAGCTTCTCCTAAGGGATTTCTACTCTCTAAAAAGAAAACTCATCATCACAGGTGATTTTAATATTTCAATTCAACTTGACTACTGACGTTTTAACGGTGGATTTTGTCAACCTACTAGCTACCTTTGGTATCTCTCCTACAATCAGTGACCACACCCGAGTAACTGAAATCACGTCAAGCTGTATTGACAATTTTCTTGTCAATATATCTCCAACTTTATTTACTGCTGGCAGTGTGGATCCAACAATCTCTGACCATTCAGCAGTGTTTTTTAAACTACATTCAGACTCTTGTCCCGCGGTTGAAAATCCCACTCGATTTAGACCAATTACACGGACCGGTTTAAATGATCTATCCGCGAGCTTTGAAGCTACCAATTGGGAACCTTTGTTGGACTTGAATGAAAACCCATCAATCTTAACAAACAATCTGCTCCTTGTCTACACCGCGAACATTGAACAGCATTTTAAAGTTGTCGACCGAAACAATTCCTTTCAGCCCCCGGTATCCTGGTTCGACCGTAACCTCAGAAATAAGAGGGACCATGTGCTGTTCCTAAAAACTAAATGTCGAATATACTCCACACACGACACACGGACAAAGTACAGACAGGCGAATGCTAAATATAAAAAACTAATTAAAGAAACTAAATCAAAGGCCTATTCCAGCTTTATATCCAAATCTACCAACATGAGCAAAAGCTGTTGGGCGTTAATCAATCATAAAACCAATCGATCATCCAGAGTCACGCCCAATGAGTTCAACCTCTTTTTCTCCAAGGTGGTCGAAGATCTAATCTCAACTATTAGAAAATCCAATGATCCCTATGCGTATTTAAAGAAATTCTCTACCAGTAAATCTTTCTTTTTGAGTCCGGTTTCAGAAAGCGAAATACATTAAACTGTCATGAGTCTGAGCAATTCAAATTCCACTGACTGCTTCGGCATAAATTCAAAAATACTGAAACGCACCATAGAGTACATTGTGGGCCCTCTGACGGCTTTAACTAATGCAGTGTTCTTAAGTGGCGAATTTCCATCGCAGCTGAAACTATCTAAAATAATTCCTGTTTATAAAAAAGGAGACAATCACATTCCGAATAACTTTTGGCCCATTGCAATCATCCCTATCTTTGGAAAAGTGATCGAAAAAGCCTTAAAAACCCGCCTTTCACGATTTTTTGATAACCACAAACTTCGGAGCGACTCTCAGTTCGGCTTTCGTGAAAAGAAATCCACAACCCATGCGCTCATAGAATTTGTGAGCAGGGTGATCCAGGGGTATGATGATGGTGAGATTTCGAAGGCCCTGTTGTATGATCTTACAAAGGCTTTTGACTGTGTTGACCACGTCGTACTATTGAACAAATTAGAGTTTTACGGCGTCAGGGGCATCCCTCTATCATTAATAGAGTCATATCTAGACAGCAGGTTTCAGTACGTTTCAGTAGTCTCCGGCGTGCCTCAGGGCTCAGTACTGGGGCCTCTGCTCTTCATTATTTACATAAATTATCTGCCGCTGTCCATACCCAATGCAAACGTTACCCTGTTCGCAGATGACACTGCCGTTCTTTCAAAGGCTAGGAATCATAAAATGCTTACTGAAAACCTTGATGAGACTGTGAGGGCCCTTCAGCAGTGGTTCTCTGCAAACAATCTAGTCCTTAACCAACAAAAAACTCAAGAACTCACTTTCTCTTGTAGCAAAGTAGACTTTCTTCATCAAGACAATATTACTCTACTGGGATTTGTCATTGACAGAAATCTGTCATGGACCGGCCAAATCGACGAAGTCTGCGCCACACTGTCCCAGCGTTTGTTTCTGTTACGGCATCTCAGCAACTGTTTAACAAAATTGGCACTAAGAACGGCCTACTTCGGTCTACTGCATAGTGTGTTGTCTTACGGTGTTGTGTTGTGGGGTGGGGTAAAATACTCTGAAAAAGCTTTTCGTTTGCAAAAGCAGGCCATGCGGCTACTTAGCGGCGCTGGTCCGCGTGAACACTGCAGACCCATCTTCGCGGATATGAAGATTATGACGCTGCCCTCTACCTACATCTACAAATCTGTTTTATACATTCATGATAATGCTGATTCTTATCGCCCACTAACTAGCAGACATGAGTATAACACCAGGCAAGGTGATTCGATCGCCCTTCCGTACTCCAGACTGACGTCCTCGCAAACTAATAAAATCAATATTAGATTATACAATGTTCTGCCGAGCAGCCTTAAAAATCTACCAACCAGACAATTTAAGCAGAAAATGAAAATTTTCTTTATAGAGAATCCCTTTTATGGCACCGATGAATATCTTGAGCTGCTTAAGCATACGAATATTTAATAATTTGTGACTTTGTTATCTATATGTTTACTTTTCACTTTATGTATTATTTACATCTTATCTATTATCTCGAAGTATTTTGTATAATTTAGTGCAATCTGTGTGTACTTTATTAATGTTTTTTTTTATATATTTTCCCACTGCGATAACCAATGTAATTGCCATACTCTTGACGTACCATTTGTTGTTCTTGTGACTTATCTGAATGGTTAATAAAGTTCTATTCTATTCTATTCTATTCTATTCTATTCTATTCTATTATTATTATTATTTTTTTTTATTCTTTAGCTCGACGTTGTCGGTTTTTATTTTTAATAAGAAGGTACGGTCTGAGACAAATACTCTTCCTACTGTAAGAAATTTCTGACCAGGTGGCAAGTCTGTAGTATGCTGGCTTTTTGTAGTTCCATATAGAGATATTGTTGAAGGCCGAGAGACTGAAGTGACTTATGAAGTTTTTTGGGTATTAGGCCTGTAGAAGATAGGACCACTGGTATTGTATGAACCTCCCTTTGGCGCCAAACTCTTTTGATCTCGCTAGCAAGCTCAGAGTATTTTTGTATTTTACGGTTGTGAGTATTTGAAAGATTTCTGTTCCAAGGTACTGCGATATCGATTAAGTAGGTTATCATTTCATTTTTAATAGTGAGTATTATATCTGGCCTATTATATTGAATTGCTTTGTCTGTTATGATAGATCTGTTCCACATCAGTTTATGGGTATTTGACTCCAGAACAGCTTCAGGTGAATATTTAAAGTAAGGACACTTTTGTTCAAGAAGGTGATGTTTAACTGCAAGGTTTTGGTGAACTATTTTTGCTACATTATCGTGCCTTATTGTGTATTCTGTGGGTGCTAAAGTTGAACAACCGTTTAGTATGTGTTCAATAGTTTCTCCATTTTGGCCACATCTTCTGCACTTATCTTCTGTGTGAGGGGTATTAAGGATATATTTTTTATAATTTCTTGTTGGTAGTACTCTATCCTGAATAGCCAGCAGATAGCCTTCGGTCTCGGCGTACAAGTCTCCGTTGCTCAGCCATTTGTTTGACGCTTTAATGTCAACATCTTCCTGATGCAGGTCGGAAAAATGCCCGCCGTGGACCGCCTTCTGAGCCCATTGATGCAGGATCTCATTGTTTATTTCAATTTGAAATACTGCGTTTCTATCTGCCATGTTTAATGGAGTGTATTTTTTATCTGCCTCTATTACGGTTTTATGTAGTGCAGCATCTTTATTGTAGAAATACTCTCGTAGCTTGTTCACTTGTTTATTGTGCATATTGAGTAGGTGTATTACTCCTCTTCCCCCTTCACTTCTTGGAAGAGTCCATCTCTCACGGCACGAGTTGGGATGGAGGTGACCGTGTTTTTTATATATTGAACGTATTTTGCTTTCTATTAGCTTGATGCTGGTTTTTGACCATTTTATAATGCCGAAAGAGTAGGTCAGTACTGGAATAACAAAGGTATTAAGTGCCTTGCTCATATTTCGACCATTTATACAACTGTTGGCTATTTTGCGCGTTCTTTCGTACACTATCTTCTCGAGTTTTTCTCGAGTGCCAACATGATCAATATTTCGCGCCTGCTCAATTCCAAGATACTTGTAAAGATCCGTCTCTTGCATGTTTTGAATCTCTGATTCTTGTATGTTCACCACGTTAGAAAACTTTCCCTTGTTTATATGGATAGTTCTACATTTATCCAAACCAAACTTCATTCGGATATCCGTGCTAAACATTTCCACTATCCGGATCATACTTGATAGTTGTTGTTTTGAAGATGCGTATAGTTTGAGATCATCCATATAGAGCAAGTGGCTTAACCTATGGGATCTATTAGGAGTCTTTAATTCGAAGCCGTATCGGCTGTTATTCAGAAGCAGGCTGAGAGGATTTATTGACATGACGAACCATAAAGCGCTCAGACTGTCGCCCTGGAAAATTCCTTTTTTAATCCTCATCCTCGGTACAATCAGCGACTTCCCTTGATGGTGGAGTGTTAGGTCAGTATTCCACTTTTTCATGCAAAGACCAAGAAACGTCCGTATTTGGGGGTGGATACCATAGAGTTTCAGTACATATTTCAACCAGGAATGTGGCACAGAGTCAAATGCTTTTTGATAGTCGATGTAAGCCATGTGAATATTTCTATTGCTTTTTATTGCCTGGTTTGATATGACTGAGTCGATGACTAGTTGTTCTTTACAGCCATACGCTTTTCTAATGCACCCTTTCTGTTCTTCAGCGATCAAACTATTCCTGTCTAGGTGGTTGTAGATTTTGTTAGAGATGCATGCCGTGAGTATTTTGTATATAGTGGGGAGGCATGCTATTGGTCTGTACTTGGATGGATCATTGATTTTCGTTGTGTCCTTAGGGATAAGATGAGTTATGGCTGTTGTAAAGAATGACGGTAGTAACTCTGGATCAGACACTATTTTGGAGAAATGCTCGGCTAGGTACGCATGTGTGACCCACAGTCGTTTCCACCAAAAGTTTTGTATTTTGTCTGGACCTGCAGCTTTCCAGTTGGCTGTCCTAGATATTGCTGCTCTAACGTCTGTTTCTGTTATCCTGGAGTATTCCATTGGATTTGCGATTGTAGAAGAGATTTCAGATAGCCACGTTGCTTGTTGGTTATGTTCATCCTTGTTTGTGTATATTGGGGCCCAGAAATTTTCTAATTCTTGGGGTGTTATTTTGAGGTCTTCATTACACTCGTGTTTCTTTTTATCTAAGCTACGGTAAAAGGCTTTTTCACTTACATTAAATAGATGATTTTGGGTTTTCCGTTTATAGCTTTTATTATATCTTGCCAATCGGGCTGAGTAAACTGAAAGCTTCTGCTTCATAGTGTCCATGATTTGTTGGTCGTTAAGGTTAGGAACTTCTCCGTGGCGTCCGTACTTTTCCCTAATATTTTGAACTTGCTTAAGTAATTTAGGTGTGTTGTGGGATTTTTTCTGGAAGCTCGTTAGCCTTCCGATGTCTGTCCTAAGTGTGTCAATAAGTTGGCTTAATCGTTTCTTCCATGCCGGCTCGCCCTGTTTATTCACCACTCTAGAGTCGGACGTAACTTTAAATCCCATCGCTCTAGCCGTTGCAACTGCGGAGCAATAGACTACGGCGTGAACTTGCGCAATATTTTTTGCGTCAAGTAGGGCAGATGGGAGAATTTCAGTATTTAATAATTCGACAATCTGAGATAGTTTCACAGAGGTATGTAGTGTTGGTATCTTAGGTCTATATTTGGGCTCTACATCTTTATATTGGATCAGCGCAGTATGAAATTCTGTTTTAAGCGATTCATTTAAAGCATTAGTACCGATCTGACGGTTTGGTATATTTGTGCGGTCTACTATTAGCTGCTTTGGGGAATCGTCAATAGGAGTCATTTCTTCTGTGTGGTCCTCATTCTGATGAGTAATATGATCTTCTACTTCTCGCCTGACCTCATCTTTTATGCTGTTAAGTGTTGCAGAAGGTAAGAGATTCCGTCGTTTGATTGCACGTATTTGGTCTGAAAGTCTCTGTGCACTACCGTTCATTTCTGGGTATGTGGTAGAGAATTCTTGATGTAGTTCATCTCTATATCTTAGCATATCTGTTTCTAGGTTAGTAATTCTGTAGTATATGCGCATAAGAAATGTGTTTATTTCATTAGTCCATTTTTTGCGCATTCGAGGTGCTGTAGGTACAGCGTGCCTTTCTTCATCAATGGCCCCCTGCCCTAGAGCTGGAGGAACATTTTCTGAATCTGCTGCATTTGCTGAAGTGTTGCCGCCATTGTGTCTTGTGGTAGCCATTCGCAGGGTGGCGCCACTCGGTCCACCACCGACTGCAGGAGACTGTAGCTCGGGTTCCGGGGACCCTCTGCCTAAATCCCGTTCACCATAAAGTTCATCCGAGGCATCATTATTTTGATTCTCCATCATGTTTTAATGGGGTCCTGTATAACAGGGTTGAGTTCAGCCGCTCCTAACCTGGAGAACAGTCGCTGTTCGCCAATATCTGGCTATCCTCATTATTATTATTATTATTATTATTATTATTAATATTATTATTATTATTATTATTGTGCGCGCCGTCCTGACGATCAATACGGGTGTTTTCTTTGTCTGCGACCGCAAGACTAATTAATCAATTTAAAGCTAAAATTAAATTTTGAAAAGTGGTAAATAGATATATTAAGTACCGACTAGTCTATTGTACGCGTTTCCTCAGTTGGTTGCGAAGTAGTTTTTGCTAAATCGTAATAATTTTGTTATCTGTGTTGATAAATATTGCAAATTTTTTGCTCTTATCAGTGTCATTGTCGCATCGGGAGCAGACCGGCTGCACGGACAAGTTGAAATTGTACTTATTGTTTCAACGTGTTTTTGTACTTATTGTTTCAACATATTTTCGTACTTTGAAGAACCGTCACCGCCGTGTGTTTCGGAACCGTTGGTGACTGGAAATGTCGGAAAAGAGGATTTACTGCACCAAGTGCAAGAGTACCTCCATTAAATCTGGCGTCAGTTGTTTGAAGTGCGGCTCGCTGACACACGCTGGTTGCCTTAAACAGATGAAAAATGTCAAGTGGTCTGAGGATGGTAAAACACTTGCGGTTTGTGAGGAGTGTCTAACTAGAGCTACGGAAACTTCAACCACTATTGGACGCCACCTTGATGAGGATACAGATAAGATGAAAATCTTTTATCTTGAGAGGTTGGTTGAGCAGCAAAAGTTGACGATCCAAAACCAAACTATTGCTATCAATGCACTAAATGAGCAAATTCGCTTACTTCAGCTGCAGTCTCGGTCGTCAGATAGCTCGTTGTCCGGAGGTTCATCGAAGCGTGATCACGCTCAATCGGGCATCAATCAAGAATCTGCCACCGATCTGACTCCGGATGAACCTTATCTTACCAGGCCTTTTACAGCATCAGGTAACTTCACGGCTGCTGATGTCGAGACTGCAATCCACGAGGCTCAAGCATCGGTTACTCCAAGCAACTTAATAAATACAACCGGTGACAATAGAAGACCTCGTCTTCGAAAAATGCCCAGAGCAAGAGATCTCATAGTTGGTAGACTGGGGGACACGTCTTCTTGCAGTCTGAGAGCGGCTGCCAAAGCCAACCTGCACCACTTCCACATTACAAAGCTTGATATGGAGACAACGCCGGAGAGTCTGTCTGAGTATTTGGAGCAACTCACGGTCGACGCAACAATCACTAGGTTGCAATCTAAATATCCGGATCAGTATTCGTCGTTCAAGGTTTCTTTACCTTCTACCGACTCATCAAAGATGTTAAACCCGGATATCTGGCCCGTTGGGATAAAAATCAGCCGGTTTTTTCCACCTAGATCGGCCACAGTCACACCAGCTTCTAAATCAGCCTCCGGAGCGGGCGGAGACGGCCGGCAGCACTAGTGACGGCGATTCCATTCCAGTTTCTTTACAGGGGGGAACTTTTGGCCTGAACCGTACAAAGTGTAAGGACTTAAATATTTTTAACTTATTTCATATTAATGTACGATCAATGTTCAACAAGGTAGATGAAATTTTAATTTTTACAACATTGAACAGAGTTAATATTCTGTGTGTGTCGGAGCACTGGTTGAGCAACCAGGAACTGAATTCCATTAAAGTTGGTGATTTTGTACTGGCAGCCTCATTCTGTCGCCCGGCGGGCCAGCAGGGTGGAGTAGCAATATTTGAAATCGTGGCTGAAATACAAAACTTTAGATATGTCGAATTTTTCCATTCAAAGCCACGCTGAATTCTGCGCCGCAGTTCTGAATACTAGAACGGTACTTATGACACTCTATAGATCTTCGACTTATGGTAGTTTTTCTATTTTTGTGGACAACTTCAATGCTATGATTAACTTTCTTTTCTGTAGGTATGACAGAATTATAATTGTTGTGGATTTTAATGTCGATCTAACATCAACTTCTAATCAGTCATCTGAATTGAAAAATTTAATACAGTCCTATGGCCTGGAGTTTTTTGTGAATGAGCCCACCAGAAATGTTATGTCAACTGGCTTGGACAACGTAGTCTCGAATTTTCCTTCTCGTGATTTAAATGTTATTGTTTGTGATCCTAATTTATCGGATCACTTTGGTCAGCTTATTAAGGTTAATGTAGCATCAAACTCCATAAATAAAAATAAGAATAATGACTATTTTAGATTAGTTAATGATAAATCAATAAGTGTCTTTATCGATAAACTGTCTCGAGTTTGTTGGCCTGACCAGATTTGGAATGCTCAGAATACTAATGACATGTGCACCTCCATTATTAATACCCTGTCTGAACTCTCAAAAGCATCTTTCCCCCTTACTAAAGCTAAGGAGCACCGCTGCCCCTTAGTGTGGTTTTCTAATGAACTAAGAGAAATGCGTAAGCGTGTTTATGACTTAAAAAGAACGTATAATTGTTCTAGAATCACCCTTGACTGGCATAGATATAAAGATTACCATAGGGATTATAAACGGGCTATTAGAGAAAACAAAAAAAAGGCGTACGACAATATCATCACTACCTCGGAGGATACGTCCAAAATTACGTGGAAAATTGTTAATTTCGAAAGGAAAACAAATAAAAATGCAATAATATCTACCACATTTTTGTCAGACACTTTCAATAAATTCTTCTCATCGATTCCAACTAATATCATAAACAGTATATCCACACCGTCGACCAGTGCCTTGAGTTTTTTGCACCGTTTCCCAAAACCACCATTCTCTTTTTTTATGCCTCCAGTATTGGAATCTGATGTAAGGCAAGCCATACTCAGACCTAAAAATTCAAAGTGTCTGGACTATTATATATTCAATGCCAGCATTTTCAAAAAATGTCTAACTTCACTTTTAGGACCCATTACCTCACTTATTAATAAATCCATGGAGGAGGGGGTTTTCCCCAAAAAACTTAAGATCACAAAGATTTTGCCCTTGCATAAAAAAGGGGATCCAGAAAATCTAGATAATTTCAGACCAATTGCAATTGTTCCAGTAGTAAGTAAAATTTTTGAAATTATAATTAAAGACAATTTAATGAACTACTTTGAGGACAAAGGACTGTTTAATCAGTCTCAGTTTGGTTTTCGCAGAGGGAAGTCCACTATTCGGGCTTTGGTTACATTGATTGACAGTGTGGTTGGAGACCTAGATGAGGGTCGCTCAGCCTCGGTCACCATTGTGACCTTTCGAAGGCCTTCGACTGTGTTGACATTGAGATTCTGGCTCAAAAGCTTGAATACTATGGCGTCAGAGGCAATTCACTGAGTCTGATTGAATCGTATTTGGCAGACCGTGTGTAATATATATGTTCCCCAAGGATCCATCCTCGGTCCACTCCTGTTTCTAATTTATATTAATGATCTAGTAAAGGCCGTCGATACGGCGAACTCCATTCTATTTGCCGATGATTCGACCTTGATCTCTTCGGATAAGTATATTGCGACTTAGAAGGTGATGGCTGACGCTGATTTTCAGGCGGTTGACCAATGGTTCGCCGCCAATAAACTTAAGCTTAACACATCGAAGACGAAAAAAATGCTAATAACATCCAACAAAAGAGCTGTAAAGTCATAGCCTGCTAAGCTTCTAGGTATCTTTCTCGATACCTTCCTAACCTGGTCGGCTCATATCGAGTATCTATGTTCCAAACTCTCGTCTCAAATCTTTGCATTAAGGCAATTAAAAGACTGCATTTCGTAGAAGACCTTAAAGACTATCTACTTTGCACTCTTTCACAGTCATCTGACCTATGGCGTGCTTCTTTGGGGTAACTCTTCAGATGCTGATCGGGTTTTTCGGCATTCTCCAAGGGGCTCCTCCTCGAGCACATTGTCGTGAGCTTTTTATTAAATTTAAGATTCTAACTTTGCCTTCCCTATTCATATACTACAACCTTCTGGAGGTCCATGCTGGTTTGCAGAGGTGTCCTACTCATGGTGACTACCACTGCTACGACACACGCGGATCTAGCAATATTGTTCCACTTAAGTCTAGATTAGCCACTACTCAGAAAAATAAACTAAATTTGAACATATATAACATATTTGTGAACAAATATAACCGCTTGTATAAAGCTAACGCTAAGCAATTTACGATAAGAAAATTTAAGTTATCGATTAGAAGCTATCTTTCCAGTTATGGTTTTTACTCAGTTGAGGAATTTCTATCGCATATCCCAAGAATATAGTGTATACTGTTAACTCAAGCAAATATTTTTATTTATAATTTTTTTTTCTATAAACATATGTTTATATACATATTATTGTTTCTATTTCTTGTTAAATTTATCAAATTGTTGTTGTATTTATATTTTCTTCTTTTTGTTATTGTTGCTGTTATTTCTATTTTGTTATATTACTGAGTTTCGACTTCGCAAATACATGTATTTATAGGTGGTCAATAAACGATATTATTATTATTATTATTATTATTACTAGCTACCTAGTGCTCTACTCACGTGTTTGTCCCAAAACCTTAGTTAAAGTGCAATTTAAAAACTGTAAAGTGACTTGCTAGTTACATAATTGTATTATGAACTACAGCACATATTAGCTACCACGAACACTTCGTGTGTAACCTAGATAAGACAGTCGTTTTATCAGCTTAGCAACAGCTACCATTTTTTGTTGCTCGGAGAGCACGTGAAAAGTTGTTTCCGCCTACGGTCGGAATTAAATAAACTATTGTTCTTGGATACCGATTTTCTCACTGTATGACAGCTGTATTCTCGCATAGTAACAACAATGGTGCAAAAAGCCTGCAAACGCTGCGACGGTGTCGCGGGCACATGTCTGAGGTGCATCGTTTGTGGTATACTAATGCACAAGTCTTGTGCTAAAATATGCAAATTTGTCAAAATACTTGAAGATGACAAAATAGACTATTGTACGTATGACCCTCGCAATGCCGACAAGCATGC